AAATTAAAAACCTAATCATCTAAAGCACCCCATAATACAAGGGTAAAATGAGAAATACAAAGAAAATAAACCCTATGACTAAAATACCCCAAAATACAAGGGTAAAATTGGAATAAAGCAATAAATTCTATACTACTCAAATTGGCCATAGCCATGAACCATGTGATGGGTCTCACATGAAGTGAAGTACCAAGGATGGTCCTCCATCAGAATAATAGTAACATGACCTAAGATACTGCATGCATGTTTTATGTTTTATGTAGAAATAAATATCTATATGTATGAATGTTTGAGATAAAATTTATATGGGCTGACAAGTAAATATCAATATTGAGGTAGAACAATGCATATGGTAAGTAATTATATTCTTTTTATTATTATTATTATTTTAACTTTACACATCTCCTAAAGATTCAGAACCTATGTGTACGGTATATATGTATCTGAACATTGAGAACCTACCCGCAGATGATAAGGAGGAGAAAAACCCGCTAAGAATTCCAACGAAAACTAACATTCAAATGGCCTTGAGGTGGTTGATTGAGAGTAGCCAGTCAGGGGATTCATTGGTGTTCCACTTCTCAGGACATGGGACAAGGGAAATGAACATGGATGGGTTTTGTGAAGCAATATGTCCTGTTGATTATGAACAGCACGGGAAGATACTAGATACTGAGATTAACGCTGCAATTGTTAGTCCACTACCACGTGGTGCTAAACTTCATGCCATTATTGATGCATGCCATAGTGGGACTCTTCTTGATTTATCTTTTATGTGCAAGATGAACAGGTCAATTATTTAGGAATGCTTGCTTTATAAACATTGAACACCTCTTTAATTTGCCTATGCTAACGACACATTTTTTTTAATATACTATTGCGAACACATTCTATTACTAACTCAAATTTATTGGAACTCACATTTTGGTGACGTCTTATTTAAATCAATTCTCATGATATCATAGTTTTTAATAAATTTTAACTGATAATAAAAAATGTGTTAGAAATCATAATGTATTGCTAGCATTCTCTTGGTGAATTGAATCCGTTTCTTCTGTTATATCAGGGAAGGATATTACACATGGGAAGATCGTAGATGTTGCAGAAATGACAAAGGTGCAAGCGGAGGGCTAGTAATTTGTATTTCAGCTTGCGAGGATGGTCAGATCTCCATAGATACCTCAGTATGTAATATTTTTCCAGCTTGTAAAAACTATCATGTAAAGTTTAATTATCACTGTTTGGAGATAATTAAAGATTCATGAATTGATATGGGTTATGTGTGTAGGCCTTAAGTGGCAAAGTAGTTACTGGGGCATTGACTTATAGTTTCATCCAAACGGTGCAAAATGAACCTGGTCTGAGTTATGGTCGGTTGCTCAGTGTAATGCGTTCAACCATCCGTGGTACAAAAACAGGCATAGTACGACTAAATGGCCCAATTGCTTCACTGTTAAATAGATTTCTTGGCCCGGAAATCCGACAGGTATTGCTCTCTCTTTCACACTCATCACATACATTAATATAAAATACCGTGACTCATAAGCTTTATTTTGGAATAGTGATGGACATCCACTAGTTATATCATTAAAGTAATGTATCCAGCTGCAACATCTCTCACCTCACAATTTAATCCTATTTTCTAAGGTTGAATTAATCTCAAATCCAAATATTAAAAAGATGTATATCATAATCTGTTGTAACGATCGTAGTTAAGTTTATCGGAAGACATACTATCCGATAGTTATTTGACCAATCATAATCATTAATTTTAGACTTAACATGTTTAATTCTCGGCATGAGACGATTAAAGGAATGTATATAAGGGAGGAGAGACCGTCACCTCACAATAGACACTTCCTATAAAGTATGAAGTTGGTACTGAAAATGGTTTGAAATTGGATTTGCAGGAGCCACAACTATCATCTTCGGAGATGTTTGACATGTATACAAAGCGGTTTGAACTATGATAAGGTAATTTATCATCAGAAGTATAAGTTTATAATCGTACGTGTTACTGATGACAGAGATTAAAGATGTAATATTGGACACATTTAACTGAAGTATTCGAGATCTGTAAACATTACACAAATGAAGGATTAAAGAGTGTGGTTCTTTTGAACATAGGAAATGGCCAATAAGTCGTTTTTCAACTTGGATGTGGGAGACAATCCCCAACTACAACTATGTACCCTGCTTTGTTTACATAGTCTCAAATTTGATCGTCGCTATTTATTTTAACTGTTGAAATATTGGGTGATATGTCACCGGGTGTTGCTCACTATTAAATTATTGTTCTTTCTTTAAGGTTCGCGAGTTTAGATTTGTAGTTATTAAGAGTTGCTAAAAGTTGAACTGAGAAAAGAATCGAGAAATTTTCATATTATAAAAGATCGAGATGAAAGATTGTGGATTTGATTGAAGATAAGATAAATTTTTGAATTTAAGATAATGAAGTGACTCATCAAGGTAATTTCTAGGATTGGGGATTTGCAAAATGATTATTATCGAGTTAATTGTCCAACCTAATATTAATATTGATTCTCATTAAATTTGCATTAGCTTAGGGTAATTTTTGTTCCCTTATGAAGAGAAGTCTAATTCCTACTTTTGTGTAGATATATTTAATTAAATTTATTAAGTTCTTTGTTAATTTATTAATATGATTTAAAAAATATTTTTCTTTCCTATCATTCCAACTATTAGATTCATCTTTTTGAACCATCCCTAAACATTTAAATTAAATGGTGGTCAATTGCTTCACATAAGAGAAAAGTTAATAAACAAGAATTAGGAGAAACTAATAGAACATATTTAATTCAATTAACAACCAATAGTTATTAAGGATTATGTCCCAATCCTATAAAAGAGGGTTCTACACATGCACATGATATAATTTTAAAAAAAATTAAAGAAATGAGAAAATAAAATTGAAAAAATTGAGAGAAAATAAATATCAATCTTTAATCATAATTCGTTACAAAGTATGATGTTAAATCCTAATTAAACTTAACGTATTAACAAGTCTTTAGTACGATTATTAATAAATTCAATTTTTTTAAAGTAAAAATTTGAATTTAAATCTTGTATAAGAAAAAGATATAATTTAGAAGAAATATCATATTAAAGATAATCAGTTAAATTCTTCAACAAAAATTAACTATCAACAAAATTAATAGATACTTCTTACAATAATATGATTAGACATTAATAAACTTAGAACCTAACCTATAAAAGAATATTTAAATATAGGGTCTTCATCAATAGGAGTTTGAGTCCAACTAAATTACAAAGAAAAAAAATCACAATAGAAGTAATTTAGTCGTACCAGGGGTGATCTTTATGCAAGATTATTATTTTAAAGCTTCTCATCATGGGTGTAACAATTCTAATCAAACACACCCGATGGTCTTCTTCACTTCTTGCATGGTGCAATGAAAACCTCCTATTTTCACTGATCAAAATTCAAAATACTCTCGTCCTTTCAAACAGATTCATACCTAAAATAAAAAACAAGCTTAAAAATACACTCAAACAGAGAGTAAAAATGTGTAAAATTTACTTACGTAACTAAATTAATGATAAAAAATTAAGAAGCTTAAACGACATTTAAAGAGCTCATGTCCCATTTTATTTGATAAAAGTATTTAAAATGAGAATAATATTAAAAAATATTATTCTAATTTTATTTTGATAGATAAATATTACTTGAAATAAATTACAATATAAAAATGATAATTATTTAAAAATATATAATTACTAAATTTCATGTTATAATCAAGTAATTAAATATGCCCTTTTATATTATTTTATATTTATAAACTAATTTAACAGTTAATTTTATTAAATACTTTTAATTCAATCAACTATTTTTCAACTTTTCCAACTTTTAATTAATTTTTTTTCAGGTTTCAACTGACTTATTCGCTAATTTTGTGAAATACATACACCCAAAGATAATCTCATATAACTTGAAATTGTAATGAAGGTAGATGTTACAAATACATCAAACAAATATTTAATATTTTATAATCTTATATGTCAACGTAAAAATGGATCTAATTTTGTTTTAAAATAGTTTAATCGAAGACGTATGGCTGTTTGAGTGCTATATTTAATGTTATCATGACACCAAATTTATACGATATAATATGATCCTCCTCCATGAAAAAAATATAATATGATCCTAGTGAGCTTAATAATTTGATACAGTACTTTTATTTTATTTTAAGTTTACATTTTGAAATCAAAACGGGAAATAAAGGACTAGTTAAAAATGAGATCGTGTCACCATTTAATGCAATTAATAGTTATCATGTATATACTTTAATGAAAAAATAGTTTATACAGTTGTAACCAAAAACTAGTCTATACAGTTTGAGAGACAAAAAAATTCGTTCTATATTACAATAATATTTTGAGAGATCCATTTGGAAATGTAAGTTATGCCAAATGGAAAGAAACCAATTCTCAAGGGTAGTCTTACAGGTTATGCCAAGCCAGGCCAGCTCTTGGCCATAATGGGTCCTTCTGGTTGTGGCAATTAGTCCACACTTCTTGATGCTTTAGCAGGTCACAAACTATCTTCTTCTTATTATTCTATGACCTTCATGTATTATATTATAACAACTACATTATATGATTTATTCAAACAATATTGTAGGAAGATTGAGATCAAACATAAAGCAAACAGGGAGGATTCTGATCAATGATCAATGGTCACAGTCACACACAAGAACTGGCTTATGGAACATCTGTAAGAGACATTCTCAAAAGCTATAAGTCCCGAAAATATATGAATACTACTCCAATCTTAATTAACTACTGGCTACGTCTTATTGTCTTTATTGGAATAGCTACAAGTATGGGCTCTTTCTTCTATCAAATCGGCTCAAGTAACGATCTTATACAGTACATATATATGGACAATGCTTTTCTGTACAAGCTAACGTGGGACAAATTATCTCATTTTCTTTAATTTTGAAAATAATAGATTAAACTACCGTTTTAGTCCATTAAAGTGTCATGTGCTTGCAAATCTCAAGAGAACGGAAATTGCAAATTAATTTTTGAAACTGCATTCCATCGATCAATTTGGTTCAGGGTTTACCCTCTATCAAAGAGTGTTAACATGTGAACTGTGCAATTAATAATAAGTGTCGTGTGCACTCTCTTTCTCTTTTTGTTTTTTTTTTTAAATCTCTTCCTCTCTTTTTTGTGATTTCTCTTATTTAGTTACTTATTCGTGATCATGATCGGAAACTAAGAACTTTAGGGTATTCACAATATTTAAAGGAATTAAAACAAGATTAATGAAAATTTATGGAATTGAAGATCATTCCTACTTCGTAAATGATGGTTTAATCACAATAATATTAAAATAAGTTGAAGTCTCAACATGTTCCTCCTCGCCACAATACGCTCTCTTGCTACAAAATAGAAAGTTAGCACTTAGCTGTTGGTTTTCAGGGCAGAATACGATTTCTAACCCAATCACTTTTCCATATGCGAAAACACATGTTAATTAGTCCGTTTGGATGAGTTGACAGTGAAACAAGTTGAGATAAATCGACTTATTTTATCGGTACGTATCTCTATTTAAATCATATAAGGTTTGAAATTCTCCAATATGGAGAATAAAAAAAATGGTTAAAAAAAGAAGAAGATAATAATATTAAAATTAAGTGATTGGTTGGTTATTAAATATTTTGTACTAATAATATAATGACAAAAATATTTAAATAAATATTTTCTTTTGTTAATATATAGTAAATTTTGTCGTTTGAATACTTTTCCTTTTACAATTTTTTTACAAACAAATTGTTTGTGGAATTATATATTGAGTTAAACATGATGTATTATTAGTTTAAAATTACAAATCAACCTCTATAACGCTACTAAACTCAAATCATGTGAACCGATGGAATCAAATGAGTATTTCAAATCTTAGGAACTAAATTAACAAAAATAAATTTTGGGATTAAATAAAAAAAAAGGTATTGTCATCTGAATAAATATTGTTTTTGCTTCAATATCTATTGTACACAACTGCACAGAGTTGAAAAGTAATAATACAATACAACATTCTCATACATGATTCAGGACGGATCGCTGCTTTCTTTTTTATTTCATTTCTGGCTTTCATGACATTTATTGGTGGATTCCCTCCTTTAATCCAGGAAATGAAGGTAAAGTTTGTGTTCAATAAATTAGTTTCATTTCACTGCATGGTACTCCAAAGTAACATGATATTAAAACAGATATATTATTTCGACATCAATAATTAGTGTTACAATGTTACGTACATAATTATTTTTAGAATTTGATACTGATATATTATTAATTTTTTTACAAGGATATTGATGTATTACTGTAGTTGAATTTTTATCTTATCAACGAAATTAAATATTATCTTAAATATGACTCTTAAAATAATTATTACAAAAATTAATAAGGTCAATTTTATGATAATATTGAATGTCAATATAAATATAAAAAAAATCTATGCATTATTAATATATTTTAATTAAATTTTTATTTTTATTACTCACTTTTGTTTCCTTTGTGACTCTAAATATTCGCTAAAACTATGAGACAATCTTGTCCCATTCAAATTGTATAAGAAACATTTTCTATATCATGAAATCAATTTAGCCAAGTGAGTCACTTTTAAATATTTTAGTTAAAAATTAAAATTGAAAATAAGACCAAATAATGTTGCATGTCATTCACAATTCCAAATTGTTTGAGAAGGAAAAAATTGAAACAATTTGTCTCCAAACACTTTCTAATTAATGTTTTTGATACAAAACCCCTCCATGAGCTGCATTGCATTTGTAAGGCTATAGTTAATCTAACGAGTGACATTTTCCCCTCATTTTCTAACTTAAATGGTTTCCTTTAACTATGCTGGGTATTTGAACGCGAGACAGATTGAATGGACATTATGGTGTTATATGGCTTTCCTGATAGGCAACATATTCTCTGTTGTTCCATTCATTATAATGATATATCTAATTTCTGCTGGAGCAATAGTTTATCACCTTTCTGGGCTGCACAAAGGACCAGAACACTTTCTATACTTTGTTTTTGTATTATTTTTACTTGTGTTAGGGGTTGAGAGCCTTATGTTGGTTTTGGGGAGTATGTTCCCAAATTTTGTGGCTGAAGTCATCATTGCTAGTGGAGTTCTAGGAGTCATGATTTTGACAGGTGGATTCTATCCACG